TAGGCCCAGATCTAGGGTGGGGACATGGAGGGGGCCTCAAGTTCCTTTCCAGGAGAATCCTGCTAGTCTTTTCTGAATCAAGGTGTCAGCTCCCCAATGATGAAAACCAGGTCACCCACCCAGGTTTCTTAGGCCAAGCCCTGCCCTGGGGGCTTCAGCCCCGCCCGCCTAAAAACTCACCTCCTCGGAAGAGGAATGCTGCATGGACTCGGTCCCCAATTGTCTGATGAGCAGGGACAAGCCCTCTGTGGGGGAAAGGGAGTGAGGGAGGGGAGGGGATGGTCCATGGAGACCCTCCCCACAGCCAGGGATTCCCTCCCTAGGAGTATCTCCCACCCAGAAATGGGGAGAAAGGGTGGGAGTTGCTGTGGGGAAGCTCTGGCCCAGACCTGGTCTCTTATAATCCCACTCCCATTCAGGTGGAGGAGAGGACAGCAGCTGGTGTGAACTGGCGTGGGCTGGTGTGAAGCCACATCTCCTCTCTAGAGAGGTCAGTCCACTTCCTCCCACAGCCTGGAATCTCGGGCTGGGGACTGACTGCTTCTCCAGAAGGAAGAGAAGAATCCAGAAGGACTGGACCCTGAGATGAAAGGGCAGGGTGTGGGAGAGAAGTGTGAGTGGGGGCGGGGCCCACTGACCACCACCAGTCCCTCCCCCTGAGCTGGGCAGAGAAGGGAAGGGGAAGAAAAGTTTCTTCCATTCTTCTGCTCCCCTCCCCCACCTCCCTGACCACTCCCCCCATCACCATCTCTTTGGGAGTTGGTGGGGAGAGGGAGCTAAGAGCCCATTAATGTGCAGAGCCCCCCCAGCCCTTTTGAATCTCCTCACAGGATGTGAACAGGGTGGGATTTGGCCCTGTTGCCACAGCAACTGCAGTGGGAGTTCCCCGACGCTAGGCAACCCTCCGCTGACCCTCACTGACCTGTCACCCCTGCAACCCGTGGACAATGGCAGTGCCCGCCCTGGAGGCCCCCCCCACACACTTTTCAGAGTGGCCGCCAGCAGCTCTGCCCATCACCCTCTCCACAACTCCTCCTTCCCAGGCAGGCTGGCCAATGCACCCACTAAACCTAAGACCAGACACCCCCCCAACCCCGCTTCTGTCCCCAGGCCCTCCACCTCCCTAAATTCGACTCATCCTTCCCCTCTGCTCTCACAGGCCTCCATGAGAGAACTCAAAAGGGTGCTTGCGGGGAGACTGGGGGAAGCACCCCAAGCTGGGAACCTTCTCAGACAGGTGACACCAAAGCAAGGTTAAGATGCAGAGGCAGTTTTCAAAGATCACCACCATGGTGGTAGACAGTGACCACACGAGCATGCAGGTGCTGCCTCCATGGAGGAGGGGATGGAGGCAGGACTGACACCTGCATCTGTCTGGGGGTCACCAATTCCAGCATGTCATGAAGCAGGTTCCATGTGTGTCTGCCAAGTGTGACTGGCCACTATGGGCATTTGCAGGCCCTTGTGCTACCTCCTCAGGGAAGATTCCCAGAGGGGTTGGGGACGGGGCAGACCACAGCCTCGGTGAAAGGCCCAAGACAGCCGAGATGCGTGTGGCTCTACCACACTCTCACCAAGGAAGCTGGACGCTGGGGTGTTGAACACCGAGCTAGGGCAGCCAGTCAGGGAGGGACCCTGGTTGGAGTGGGCCTGGCAGTCCAGGTCACCCCTCGGCCTGTGTTTAAACAAACTCCCGGCTGGCTGGTTGCATGGAAACCAGCGCCAGCTCTTGTTCTGCAGTGACGCGGAGCCCTCTTCGGCACTATTTGTCTCAGCCTAGAGAACAGTGGCCGGCCTGACTTGTGACTAGCCCTGTCTATATCTCCTCAGCCAGCTCATTACACCCAAAGCCCAGCACCGCTCTGCCCAGAGCACAGAGATGGAGACTGACACACAAAAGCAGAGGCACCTGGAGAGCCTGCACAGCACACAGCAAGGCGAACACACAGCCCCACGCCCACCGAATGCCACGGTCACAGAGATGGGCCAGTGGGCAGGGCTGCTTTGCGATTGCTTTGTAGCCTGCTGAGGTTGGAAATGACAGTCTCACTTACTCACCCAGACATTGATTTAGCACCTACTGTGCTCCAGGCCCATGGTGGCTGGGGTAGGAGCCACAGGAAGATGTGCTGAGTCCTAAGCTGGGAACTAGGAAGCTGAGGTGCAGCTGCAGCCTTTGCATCAGGTGCACAGATCGGGGTCTCCCTCTCACTGCCTCCCCTGTACGATTGATACAAAGGGGACAGGGACCTCCTAGGGACAAGGGTGCTGCCACATGGAGACCCAAGGCCCCAGACGAAGGCATCTGCTTGTCCTCTAAGGACTTCCTGGCTGGGATTGAGGGAAGACGAGGAAACCCCAAGAGCCAGGTTTTCCTTCCCACAACTGCTCACCCCACAGACAGGACCTGTGGCTGCTGGGACACCCAAAGGAGGTGTCACTCAACAGCCCCCTCCTGACATGGAGGGGATGGGGCAGGGCCTCCAGGCAGCTCCCTTCTCCTGGAGAAGCTGAGAAAAGCTTGTCGTTTTAATTTCGCAGGGATCTTTTCATGGTTTGGAGCCAACAAAATCTTTCTTTCTTTCTTTTTTTTTTTCTAAGTCTCAAATATTTTCCTTGGCCGCGGGCACTATGCCCATCGTGAGCCCAAATGGATAAAACAGCCCTCTGCCTGCCTCCAAGTTCCCCACCCCAGTTTATTTGTGAAACAGATATAGGATTTTCCAGGGCTTTGGGATAGTCCCCAAAACAAACAGGAATAACTGGAATGCAGACTACAGATGGTGCGACACGGCTGGTGTGTGCACGGCAGCCCCAGGAAGCCTGCAGGGTACAAGCAGTCCTGTCCCTCCCCACCCCAACGGCACCCCTCTCACTCTTCCCTTAACTCATTTGCCTAAAAGAAACCTTCCAGCTTCGGTCTCCACCCCAACCTTCTCAGTTCCACTCCAAGTTCTTCCTAGCTCCTGGAGCGCGCCATACACAGGCAGGGAGAGGGGGAGCTGGCCTCCTTGGCTCCTGGTGGAGCTGATTGTTTTGAGGAAAGTTTGTCTTCGCATGTATGCGAGCTGAATGGGATGTGGGACAGACTGGACTAGTCCACTACACATGCTGGCAAGCATGAGAACCAGGGCAGGGGGCAGGCCTGGTGGGGGTTATGGTGGGTTGCTCTGACTAGGCTGCAGCTCTCACTGGTTCCAGTGGAAGACAGAGCTGGAAACAGAACCGACCCAGCAATTGCAACCACCAGCTGATTGTGGCGATGGACTGTACCGAGCCCTGTACCTGCAAGAACACACAAGAATCTGGTCTGGGATCACCTCAGACAAAGTTTCTTTTGGGATCTCCCCAATCAAACTGCTGGACTCAGAAACCATGGTCTGCCATGGAGTGCAAGCACCAGAGCCGAGCCTCCCCAGAGGCTCAGACGGAGCAGTGGAGAGCATAACCAGCTGCACATGGAGGATATGGCAGTCTATCAGAACCTGCAGAGGATACCTGGCATCACAACAGAGGACAGAACTGATCAGTCAACTACGCCAGCCAGATGTTGGCCGTGAAAAACTGAGCAAACGGAGACTCTAAGGTGGACTATGTCAATCAGTGGATTCTGCAGCAACTTCATTATGCTTGGAATGACAAGATTGGCAGCAATTCATCACTGTTGAACTATCCAAACCACTTGAGCAAGACCCTTGGAGCATGCCCTACATCAGGGACCTGGGATGGGTGGGAGACTGGGGGTGGGGCTTCTTCCTTTATGTCCCCCTTTACCCCAGATACAGGAAAAAAACAATGTGGAAATAATAGTCTTACCCACTTTCCTGTAGCCCTTGAACCTTTTAGCCCTAATTAACTATGTAAAGATTGTCAAAAATAAAGGGAAAAAAAGTTTGTCCTTCGGCCTTCTGTCTCCCAACAGAAAGCACTGGTTCTGGGGGGTCTCCTCCCCAAGGGAGTGTGGTGAAGGAAGACTTGGGAAAGGCCAGTGAGTTCCAAGGACCCTTAAGATCCTCTCTGACCCAGCCTCCACTGTTGGCAAGAGGAAGAGACTTTAAAGTCCTCCCTTCTAACAATAGGCACAAGTCAGGGTGTAGGGAGAGGGTGTCACTTCCAAGCTGCACCTGAACCTGACTACCCCAGAGATCATGAGGCTGGAACTTGGGGAGGCTAGGCTAGAGATGCAACCCAAATCACCCTGCTGGCAGGGATTTAATCCTGGTATTCTGCAACTGGCCGGCAGTCCCACTTCCAGACTGACAGCCAGGTTCAAGGCCAGGACCCTCCAGCGGTTACAGAATCAAGTGGGGGCGGGGGGACACAGCAGGTACGTGCATCTGTACATGCCTGTGGCTGGGGTGTGGGTATAGGGAGGGGAGTGGCGTCCAGGGTCCTGCTTCTCCATTCCTAGCAGAGCCCCTCTTGGCCAGGGCATCTACGACGGTGCAATTTCAGCAGCAGCCTCACAGGAGAGGAGGGGAATCCCAGGCCAGGCTGAGCTGGTTCTCCTGAACTTGCCAAGCATGATTCCCCGTTCTCCCCCAGGGGTGGAGCCAGGACCTGGGGCCCCTGCTGTGTCATCACCCAACCAACTCCCCACCCTGGTGCCTCTCAGAGGCTGGGCTTGAACTCCCGAAATCTTCCCTTCAGGGATGATGGGGGGCAGAAGGATACACAGACAGGGGTTCCCAGACTGAATCCCCCAAACAGAGGCCCCTCTTTGTATGCTTTATCTCAGTTGTTCTGACCCCTGGTGCCTGGACATGTAAATCTTCTCACTGCTTGGATGGAGGGGATTTGAGAGGGGGTGGTTAGAACTGGAGGCGTCTGTCCATCCTTTTGGCACATTGGGACTGTTCCAAGTTCTACCATCTCAGCACCCCCCCCCCCCCGGGCTCAAAGTGGCCACTAAAACAAGAGTGCGGCTGTGAGGAAGTGGGATGTAGCCTGGTGTGCCCCCTCCTGCCCCAAGGCCAGCCAGGAGAGGCATCTGCTCCTACCTGTTGCTGTTGGAAGTGCAGCAGTTCCGCTGGGCTCATCTCACCATTGCTGTCTCCGCTGCCAGGGGCTGCGTCCCTGCCCGTGCTGCCTCCAGCCGTCCCTGTGGTCCCAGCCCCCGTGCTGCCACCACCATCAGCCTGCCCAGAGAGGCTGCCCACACCGTTCTGACCGGATGGTGCCGACCTGATTGTCTCCGAGGCAGATTCCACCATCATGTCGCTCTAAGCGGGACCTGGAGGGGACAAGGTAAGGAAGAGGCTGAGGCTGGATGGACGGGTAGTTGGGCAAGTGACAGGTTCTATCCAGTGTAGCAATCAAAGCCCCTCACAACACAAGCACTACCTCACAGCCTACTTCCATTCTGGGGTGCTTGCTGCTCTTCAGCTTTGTTGAGCCAGCTCCTGGGCACCCTATGTGGGGTGTAGTATCCCCCTAAGGCCTGGCGAGGGGCAACTCCAGACTGGAGCCTCCCCATGCACCTCTTCCCTACATTCCCACTCCCTTGGCTTCCAGGAGAGCAGAGCATGGTAGGGACTGCATCCTTAGCCTGTTGGGGTGTCTCCATCTAGCCATCCAGGTCAGAGTGTGAAGGGGAACCAGCATCAGCTGGGAATTGGTGGGGCAAGGCAGAGACAGGTAAGTGCCTCCCACCCCCGCCTTGTAACGGTCCCCATCAAGATAAGGGAGATCCCCAGGGCACTGACAGCCCCCTGGCTAGTCCCTCCTGGGACCCAGGAACCCAGCCTGGCCAGGCTTATCGGCTAGAGCCTCCCACCCCACTTCCCACCTCCCATTTTGAAGAACCTAAACCTGAGGCACCTGGCCCAAAGTAGCAGCTCAATGTCGGCTGCTATTACCAAGCCAGTCTTACAGATGGAAAAGGTGAGGGTTTGGATTCAGGGTGTCTGAGCTAGAGCTGATCCCTATCACACAGGAAATGGTATTCAAGCAGCAGCAGCAGAAACTACCCCCAGAAACAGGTTATGCCTGGGAAGGTCAAGGGCAGTGAGGCAGCTCACGGGTAAGCCCCAGCACCACATCCCCTGGAGGGGAACACCGTGGATTTTGGTCAAACAGCATGTGGTTTTACAGCCACCACTGACTTTCACACATCTAAAAACTGCCCTAACCTCAGGAGCCTTGTTTGTCAAATCATTCAACTCCTACCTCTTTAAAAAAAAAAAAAAAAGATTTTATTTTCATTGGAAAGTCACATATACAGAGAGGAGGAGAGCTAGAGAAAAAGATCTTCTATACGTTGATTCACTCTCCAAGTAAGTGGCTGCAATGGCTGGAGCTGTGCTGATCCAAAGCCAGGAGCCCAGAGCCTCTTCTGGGTCTCCCACGCGGGTGCAGGGTCCCAAGTCTTTGGGCAGTCCTTGGCTGCTTTCCAAGGAACTGCGCTGATCTGAAGCCAGGAGCCTTGAGCCTCTTTTGGGTCTCCTACGTGGGTGCAGGGGCCCAAGGCTTTTGGGCCATCCTCAACTGCTTTCTCAGACCACAAGCAGGGAGTTGGATGGGAAGCACGACCGCTGAGATTAGAAACGGTGCCCATATGGGATCCCGGAGCATGCAAGGCGAGGACTTTAGTCATTAGGCTACTGCAACAGGCCCCAACCCCCACCTTTCAAGAGTCCTTTAAAGTCAATCCGTAAGCCAGCAGTACACCTGGCCAGTGTGCTGCGTCTCCCTCCTACCCTGACCAGCCCCTTTCTCCAGCTTCACCAACTGGAAGATAAAGGCCTGGGATGAGTGGGGTGGGGGGACAGCACTCACCTGGCCCAGGTTGCACAGAGACATCAGGGGCCAAGGCCAGCCAGGTCCTGAAGTAGCAAGGCCCAGTGACTCTGCCAGCGGTCCTTCCTACCCTTGTGACCCTGTCCAGCCCAGCCAGGACCAGAACCTCAGGGTTTCCCTGAACCGGCGGGGTGGCAGATTAAATACCACAGGAGGAAGCTGCTGTGCTGCTCTCCCCCCAAGCTATCCCCATAGTCTCTCTGCTTACTCCCCAAGAACTCTCTTTGCCCAACCTCCTGGGCCACTTGTTCTGGTCCCTTCTAGCAGCAAGGGGGGGCAGGCAATGTGAGGGTAGCCCCTTGCCTTCTGTGATTTGAGTGTTTCCTGTCCCAGTTCCTCTCTCTGGCCTCCGAGAGCCCCAAGGGGCAGGCTTACCTCCCACTACCTCACTTCCACTCCTGGGTTCATAAGAGGAACAGGGCCAGGGGTGCAGGCAACGATGGGGGTGACAGTTCAGAAGAGATTGAGCACTCGGTCTTGGGCCTTAATAGCCATGTCAGCCTAAGGGCTAGTGGCTTCCCAATGATGGATGGGGTGGACACCATGCTCCTCCCACCAGAGCCCAAGGCTCCAGCCCCCTCCCCTGCAAACTCCCACCACCCCCCTCAACTGGGGTCTGGATCGCAACTCTGCGAGGGGAATGGTGTGGGGGGTGGATGGCAGGAGCCCATTCTGCTCTCTCAACCAACCTTGGCCCTGCTGGGGTGCATAGCAGTTATGGGGGAAGGAGGAGGTGTGATTCCAATGGGAGCCACTCTGAGATCTGAGAATTCCTGGGACCCAAGGGACAAAGACCAGAGTCTCAGGGGGTTCCTGCAAGCACAGGAGAAAGGGACTAGACTGGCCAGCCACTTCCCCTGTCGAGAGGGTTGGGGAGGGGAGTGTGTCCCTTCCAACATTTGCAGGAATGCCACAAAGTTACACTTGATGGGGGCAGCAAGTTTGGGGAAATGCAGAGAAAGGACGGCCCAGGATGCACACACACATGTCCCTTTCTTTCCTGTCTTTTTATTTGGGAAGGGGGTCCAGAGTGACGCCCAGTGCACAACATAATTGCTGCAATGTGGCGTGTAATAATAGCTATTCAAGGGCCGATCATTCATATTAAACAGGGTGAAGCAAGCCTCTCATTTGCATGCTTGAGATTAGATGCATTTGAAAAGTCATTTCCGCAGGGTGTATGAATGGCATTAATTCCCATGTGGCACGCTCTGTCCCCTCCCGGGGGCCCTCAGCCTACACACACACACACACACACACACACACACACACACACACACACACACACACACACACACACACACACACACACACACACACACACACACACACGAGTCCACTTCTTTCCTTGCTCCTATCTGCCCACCCACAGTCCCCCATCCCACCTTAACAGCCCATGGTGGCAGGCTCTCCCAAGCAAGTTTCACAACCTCATCCCTCTATTCCCTGTATTGTGAGTACACAGACTGCAAGCGTCTGGGGCCCAGCCAGCTGGGGAGAGTGTTGGGGGATTGCAGAAGGCAGGCCTAGGTATCTGTGTCCTGTACCTTTGAGGGTGAGGGGTAGGGTCCGTGAGAAGGTAGGCACTGGGCTCAGTTATAAACCAGCCTGGTGGCAACCCTGTCCTTTACTGTCCTGTGGACCTCTGTTCCCCTCTGCCCACATAGTGAGATGGTCTCAGCTCCAGCCAGTTCAGCCATCTGGCCAAGCCTGTGCCGTGAAGCCACCAGTCAGTCCTCCAGAGTCACACCTGATGGACCTTTCCCAAAAGGCCTTACCTGCTAGAGTACTGGGCCCCCTGCCCTGTTCCTGGGGTGCAGCTCCAAGAGCTCCTTCCATAGACACCTAGGTGGCTCAGCAAGGAGCAGGAACACAACCCTGCAGAGAAAGGAAGCAACTCCAGGAATCAGATTGTCTGGTCTCAAGACCCAGGTGTGTGACCTTGGCCAAGTCACTGCTCCTAACCCAAGTTACTCCTTGGGCTGGCTGCTCCTTTTTGTAGACAAGCAGGGGAATCAGGTTCACTGAGACTGCTCTCCTCCTCCACGCAGCCTTCCCTGGCTGCTCCAGGATTTCTGTCTGCGGCTCTGGTCCAGCACCTGGGCAGGTCCTGGTCTCCCATTCTGAGCCGGGGCATGTAGGAGGCTCCCACAGGCTCCCTGCTAAGGAAGGAAGCTGGGTCAAAGCCACAGCTGCTCTTCCACTGAGGGTGCCTGTGGGCTGCTGGGAGCGCCTACTGCCCTCAAGGCTCTCTGCTCTTCATACAAGGTGGGGGATGCTCTCTGAGCTAACCCAGGCCTGCCCTTCTACCCTAGGGGGAAGTGTCCAGCTCTACCTACTATGGAGCTAAAACGGGGACCCCCATAGTAAGGATGCCTTGCGGGGAGGGGACAATAAGAGGAACCCCACACGCTGAGAACCCTTTTGTGCCTTTTCACGGGCCGATATGGTGTAGGAAGTATTAATTCCTGTAGCTTTTTTTTTTAAAGACTTATTTATTTTTATTGGAAAGTCAGATATAGAGAGGAGAAGAGACAGAGAGGAAGATCTTCTGTCTGATGGTTCACTCCCCAAGTGACTGCAACAGCTGGAGCTGAACCAATCCGAGGCCAGGAGCCAGGAGCTCTTCCAGGTCTCCCACGTGGGTGCAGGGTCCCAAGACGTGGGTGCAGGGGCCCAAGGCTTTGGACCATCCTCGACTGCTTTCCCAGGCCACAGGCAGGGAGCTGGATGGGAAGCAGGACCGCCAGGATTAGAATCAGCGACCATATGGGATCCCAGCACGTGCAAGGCGAGTACCTTAACCACTACACTATCACGCTGGGCCCAATTATCGTAGCTTTTTAATTAACAATCATTTAATCTGAGCCGTAACATTTGCCACGACACCCTGCTCCTTGCCGCGAACCCATGCCGCTGGCACTGCCAACTCATCAATTAATTTTTATTGACGTTTTCTTCCCCAAATAGGCACAATACCAGGGTTTTCCAATTAACACCTCCACGATCTCTAATTAGTGTAATTAACAGACTGATGGATGCCTGGAGTTTACCCGTGGGGGAAGGAGAGAGGGAACGGAGGGAGCAGCCCTCAGTGTGCTCCGGGACATGTACCCCCACTGGGCACACCCATGCATTCAGCAGCAGTGGCCACAGGTAACCTGTGCCCAGAAGGGTGGTGATAGTTGCAATTCAAAGAAGCAAGCAGCTTCCAGCTCTCGTTAAGCCTAGGATCTATTGGAAGGGAGCAGAGCTAGGAGCCTGACACCAGAGGCTGATACACTGGAGTCCAGCCTGAACCTCCAGCACAAGCTTATCTGCACCCTGGACAAGGTGGCTGCTCCTTCCCTCCTCCTATAATGAGACCTGAACTATAAACAGTTATCATATGAGGACTTCAGAACGTTTGTGGAAAGTGGCATCAAACAATAAGCT